ATTAATATAATACAAACGTCGTCGCGCCGATTTGCAACTAATTTGCAAAACCTAGAGTATTCGATTTTATTTTATTGTAAATATTTGTTATAAAAATATTTTTACAAAACTAAATCTGAAAAATAAATATAGTAGTACAAAAAACAGAAACTGATAAATTTAGCGGAAGTCACATATAAATAGAAGGAGAGCCGCATGAGGCTCGATGAGCCGCACTTGCCCACCCCTGTTTTATATGCAGCCTAGTTTATTATTTCATAATTCAAGTAACTGCGTTTGTCTTTAATTTAATATATATATATATATATATATATATATATATATATATATATATATATATATATATATATATATATATATATATATATATATATATACATATATATATATATATATATATATATATATATATATATATATATATATATATATATATATATATATATATATATATATATATATATATATATATACATATTTTGGTTTGCATATATCTTCAGGAGAGTGCTCGATGAATAAAAAAAAATTAAAATAAATTAAATTAAGTAGAGCTGTATTTATATATTTTAACTTTTTTTTTCTTTGTTTTTTCATCTATATGTATATCTTATACTTGTCCTTTTTGAGTTTGCATTGTTTACAAGGTTATTTTTTTATTTTAACCAGATTTTATGAGATTGAGCCTTCCAGTCAATAATATATTATTTAAGATGAAGTGTATAATATTTACAGGTAAACATATTGTTGTTGTTGTAGTTGTGGTTGATGAGTGTTATTTATACTTAATTTAAATCTTAATGGTGGACTAAAGAATAAAGATTTTAACAATAATCATAGCCTCAATTAAGGATTGTATTACTTTTAAGTTGAACATTTTCAGTAATATGTTTCAAATTTCCAAAAAAATATGTATAGTTTAATATTTACATAATTTATATAAACATTATAAAAAATTTATAAACATATTATTAATTTATAAATACAATTTCAATAGTTGCTTTTTTAGTTTAACTATTTTGTCAGTCTTGGTGGCTGTAATTGTAAAGATGCAATTCGACGCATTATTACAGCAGCAACTAATCAAGTTTGGCCATTTTTTAGTTTCAACGGTCGAAAACGAAAACAGCCATTTGATACATGTTTACTCTACCAAGTAATTATTAGAAAGTTTTAAAAAAAATTTTTGTACGGCATGTTACAAATAAATTTTATATACATATTATATAAAATTTATTAACATATTATGTTATAAACCTGACTACTATTCATACTTGTCAACTAATCGACTGTTAACAAGGTGAGCCACCTTGACAACTACAAATAACAGTCATGTTTATATATAGGTACACTACTTCTTTACTTAAAGAAGTTACACTTATTTTGTTCAATACATTTTTATGTTAAAATATTTAGTTGTTTTAAACGAAATCACTAGTTATATAGTATTCATTTATATTATGTTTTCATATAATATTTAAAATGAATCGTCAGGTGTACAGATAAAAGTGAATAGCAGCAACATGCAAAAATTGTAGCTGCAGATGTTATTGAACCACCATCTGCATCCATAAGTTAGGTGAATCCGGCACATACTACAAGAAAACGGCACAAAAACTACGGAACAAAAGTATTACTATTTTTTACAAGAAACTTAAAAAAATTTGGCACTTATTAGGTTTACATACAATTTTTTTGGCCCAAACCTTCTAGAGAACGAAATGTTGAGTTGAAATCAATTCCATAAAATAAGTATGCACTTTTTTACATAATGAGAAACCACAACAAATAATATTGCTCCAAAATGAAATTTATTTCAGTAAATTTTCTAAATTAATATTTTCAATTTTGTAAAAAAGTGTGCAGCTACTTTATGGCAACCCCTTAATAAGAATTGTAATTTCTTGTTCTTATATAACTTATTTTGAAGGTTCAACCATAATGCTAAAAAGTTTAATATATACTTTTTTTTTTTAAATGTGATATATGAAATGCCTAATTATCATTAAAAACAATCATGTACCATATACCTTTTAATAGCAATTAAATACGCAGTTAACATTTTTAATACTTTTATTAACTATTGTAAATATATAAATTTAAACATTAATTAGACGCTTGTAAAAAGATCGTCAAGGATGCGAACAGATAAAGAAAGAAGTTAGAGAGGTGTTAAAGCATGCTCCTAATCGACCAGGTGGAGTTAGCTAAAAGATACATTAAAATTTTTTTTTTTGCTACCTGTAAAATTTATTCTTAGATACATCTAAGTAAATTTTTACTAGTAATGCATATTATAATGTTAATCATTTAGTCTTTATAATAAAAAAATGCTATCGTATTTATTTAGACAAAACTTACAGCAAATGTTCAAAATAAAAATGTGTTGCAGCGACATTTTAAAGAAAGTTCTGACAGTAAGGGCTAGCATATGATATGTTATATGTTATATGACCAGATCAAAAAGTATTTTTTAAATTGTTAAGTGACTAGATGTTTAAATGTTGCTAATTGACAACAAAATAATTCCAATTAACAGTATAATTAAATAAACATTTCAACGGTGTTATATTAGAAAAAAAGTTTTTTTAACGTAGGTCAACGTGGTACTCAAAAAAATATAGCAAAAATAATATACAAATTTCAACTATAATATTCGTTAAAAAAAAAAATATATATATATATATATATATATATATATATATATAAATTAATTTTTTATTTAAAACTTGTAAAAATGCACTTTTATTTTTGATTAAAAAACTGTAGTTTTTATATAATTAAATCTAAAAGAATAGTTGAATTATTAAATGATTATTTAATTGAAGTTTTTTTATAATTTCACTACTTTGAAGATGGAACATGATACTTTTGATTTTTTTTTTCAAATTATTTAAAAAGTAAAGTTAGTTATGCTGTCTTTAAAACACATTATTGTGAACTAATGTCATTCTTTGTCAATAGATAATTCATAAATATAACTAGTTTGTTTATCAAATACGCATAAACCATTTGTTTTTAATTAGGAATTGTTTTAATTTATCATGAAGTATGGTAAGGTTTAGTATTTTACATACAACGTACATGTTTTTATATTTTTGTGGAATTAGCTGGATTTTCTCCTTTAATAACATGTATTTATTTTTATGTTGTTGATGTTGTTTTGTAAAAATTTAGTTTAAATTGATGTAAATTGTTATTTATGCCCTATAGGGCGCTAACTTGTACTAATAAATTAACTTTTTCATCGCAAGAAGTGTTATTTTTTTAAATTGTAATCAGCTCAGCTGTGTGCCTTTGGTCGAAATTTGCTCAACTGTGTGCCTTTGGTCGAAATGTATATTAAATCTTAAATGTAGTAGTTAAATTGTGGGTTTTCGTATAAGTTTTATATGGTGTAATTCAGTTATAAAACATGGTGAGTTTGTATTTATTAAGTAAAAATAGGTCTTGTAAATTCAAAAAAGCATTACAATACAAATACTAGCAAACGTATGTTTAAATCTATACATTAAAAAAAAAAAAAAATGTTGGATAAACGTCCGTGTTCGTAATAACACGCTTAAGGAGGACGTTTAAGAGCTATTAAAGTAATGTTTCCAGCAAACGTTCGCTGTTTGTTATTTGAACGTTTACAGCGGACGTTTAAGATTGTGTAAATTGGAGTTAAAAAATATTTACTCAAATAACGTTTGCAGCGTACTTTATGCCTAAACGAACGTTATGGTAACATTTTTTGAACGTTAATTTTTAGCTGGGGTGGACGTTAAAAAACTATCATCCCAGCTAACACAAAACGCTCAAGCACGTTCAACGAACGTTGTGAACGTTCGAGCACGTTGTATGAACGTTCCGAGAAAGTTCTCTTTAATTGTATTATTATGAGCTGTATTTTAAGTTGGGCGAGTTCTTCATTCCCGATTGCTTCCGTTTAAATGCACCGAAATATTTTTCGGTTTTAAAAATTAGTAAATTAATTTAGCGCCTAAAAATCAATATATATATACATACATATATATATATATATATATATATATATATATATATATATATATATATATATATATATATATATATATATATATATATATATATATATATATATATATATATATATATATATATATATATATATATATATATATATATATATATATATATATATATATATGTATATATATATATAAATATATATATATATTTTTCATTTTTGTTTAAGTTTTACATCTACTTTTCCACACTTGTGTGGTTTAGATGGTTCTTCATAGTGATATTAATGCCATTATGAACGAGTTGAAGCAATGTTTTACAACCGAATGCCCTTCCTGACATTAACATGAAGCAGGTGGTACTGGATTACATGTTACATGTTTGTTCTATATATATATATATATAATACAATTGTGGTGATGATTTGTTGAAGCGCCTAAAAATCAATGGGCACCCTGAATTGCCAGCTACAGTAAGAACTCTGTTGCAAACATGTAGAACTGTTGAGATTTATTGCAAAACTGGCATGCAATATGTTTATCTAAAAAAATTTGTTACAAATACTAGGTCGTCTTGAAGAAGAGGACAAGTTAAACAATTTATCGGACTTGGAAATTGCTCTGAATATAGATGGGCTTCCGCGTTTTAGGAGCACAAAAGCATGCATGTGGCCAATTTTATGTGCTATTTTTAATGTTAGCTCTGTTCCTGTAGTCTTTCCCATAGCGTTGATTTACGGTAAAGTAAAACCTAACAACCTCCAGTTTTTTAAATGAAGCAGTGGAAGAACTGAGATGGTTGCTTAAAAATGGATTGGAGTATAATGCAAACAGAATAAGTATAACATTAAAGTTTATTGTTTGTGATACACCTGCCAAATGTTTCATAAAATGTGTAAAACTATATTCTAGTTACTACGGATGCGACAAGTATAACCAAATAGGTTTTTACTGTGAAAGACGGATGACATATCCAGAAATTATTGGATTGCAACTGAGAGATAATCGCTCTTTCTGTCAAAAATTAAATGCAAATCATCACTATACTGATTTGGTATCATCATTTTGTGTTTTATCTATAGATATGGTTGAGGATTTTCCAATTGACTATATTCATCAGTCTTGTCTTGGTGTAATGCGAAAATTGTTGGTGACCTGGATTAGAGATACTGACAAAAAAGGAGTAAAAATGTTTGCAGCTCATAAGAATGATATTAGTGCTAAATTGCTTGAATTAAAAAAAATGTGTTCCTAAAAATTTTGTAAGAAAGCCACGTTCTCTTGATGAAATTGATTTTTGGAAAGCAACCGAGTATAGGCAATTTTTATTGTAGACTGGAAAAGTTGTGCTGAAAAGCATCTTGCAAAAAGACCTATTTCAACACTTTTTAGTTTTAAGTGTAGCTTTATATATACTAGTCAGTACAAGGTTAGTTAGAAAATATGAAACTTATGCACACCAATTACTTTTATATTTTGTCGATCAAGCTAAAGATCTTTATGGACCTCAGTTTCTTGTATATAATGTCCTCAGTTTAGTACACCTAGTTGCAGTTGCTAAACGATATGGCAATGTAGATAGGTGCAGTGGTTTTTGTTTTGAAAACTATCTTCAGGTTTTGAAAAAAAAAGTTAGATCAGGTAGAGCTCCGCTTAGCCAGGTTGTTAAACGTCTTAGTGAAATTAATATTATGGTCCTGCCTCAAAAATTGCATACTAAAATAATTTGCATGAGTCGCCCCAACAATTTATATATGCTGGATGATGGAAGATTCTGTGAAGTTCTTTTCAAAGAAGGGGTAAATCTAAATTTTGACTTCAGCAATATCGTTGCAGAATATTTCAAAGAACAAAGTCGTTGTTTGATGTCCCTTGTGACTCCCGACTTATTGGAGTTCATGTTGCAAAATTTGACTACGCTTTTATTGAAGTTGTTTTATCAACGGCCATAAAAAGCAAGGTTTTATGATTCCAAAAGAAAATAAGAAAAAAATTATACTTATGACTTTGCTACATGACATGTAAAACCTAATATTTTAAAGATATGTTTAGAAAAAAAGTTGTAATCATCTGACTGAATCAATTTGCTTATGTTTTAATGTTTATTTTTTAATCATTTAGTTCACTATTAAGTTTAATTAATATTAAGATGCAAAAATTTATTTTTATTGTTTAGAAACTGAGTAGCGGTCCCTTTGTTGTTGTTGAGTTTGTTGATGAGCAATCAGTGGAGGTAATGCCAAAAAGTTGGATTGTTTGCGAGAATGAGGTAAATTATTACTACAATTAATTACTAAGGCAGTGCAGTTATCTGTTTTGTATTAGTTGTATTATTTCTTACAGTAATGCAGAAATTGTAAATAAAGATTTAATTATTGATAGTTATTACACAATGTTGTTGAATACATCTATTATAATGTTTTTGTTTTTGTTTTAGCAACTGCTTGATCATTGGCCCAGAAAGGATCTAGTGTGCAGAGTCAAAAAGAGTGAATTACCTGATCCGAAATGGCCACTATTCAAAATTAGAACTTTTGGGGCTGCAGGTAAAGACTTACAATAATTTGTTGGTTGCAAGTTTGTTATTTTGTTATTTTGTTAAAAAATGAATAATCTGCTTTTTAAACAATGGGTTAAATGTCCATCTATTTATACGTCCTTGCATGTAGTGATACTTACCATTTGTTTAAATTTTGATAATTCTAAAGTTTAGTTCAACTTAAAAATAAATGCATTTTTACAACATAAGCGTTATGTTTATCTATAAAACTGTATAAAATCTATAAAATATTTGCATTTTAAAATATCGCGTATTGAATAAGCAATTTGTTCAAGAAATGTAAAGCTATAAAAATATATATAATACAATAATGTTACGTTATTCTTTTAAGTATATAATAATCAGGTTTTTAGGCAGATTGTATATTTCAATTTTATATATTATCAGTGGAAAGCATCAGATTTAGCTAAGAGTGCATTAGTAATGTCAAATGTGGAAGATTCTGATATAAACAAAGAGACTTCTTCTGATATTGAAGATGGTATGTAGTTGAATAAATTATATACTGTAGCATGATTTTACTTACACTAATATTTATAATTCCATGCTGTTGTAACTTAAATTTTGTTACTTTTTTATTGTTAATTTTACAGTAACCTCTTCTTGGTGATCACAATTCTCCGAGGAAAAAAATCAAACTTATATCTGCACAAAGATACAATTCAAAACAATGGCAAGAGTTAATTTCTGTTTTAATAATAAAATATTTTACATTTAAAATGTATTGACATAATTATGACATATAGCATTAATGTATGTATCTGGAATGTAGTTGATTAAGTTATGTATTGTAGCACGATTTTAATTACACTAACATATAAAATTCTATTTTGTTGTAAGTCAAATTTTGTTACCTTTTATAGTTACTTTTACAGAAACCTCTTCTGGTGATCACAGTCCTCTGAGCAAAAAAATTACCTTTCCATCTGCACCAAAATATAGTGGAAAACAGAACAATGGCACGTTTGTTTTGGTATTATTAATGATAATTCAATACTTTAATTCTTAATTCATATGTTTATTATAAAAGCAACCTTTTAATGCTATGCTATTTGTATTTTCTGCTATTAATTCTGATTTAATGTGTATGTTGGATGGTAATAATATTAAAGAAATTATTATTTTTCAAAGGAAAAAATGCATCCCTACAGTCTACAAATGCATCCTTACAGGAACAAACAGCTGCTTCATCTCGAGTGTTTCAGCATGTGCGAAGTGCAGCTGTGTCAACTGCTGCAAATATTATTCATTCACCTTCGGCATCTGTAAGTCAAGTGAATCTTGCACGTATTGCATCAACTGACAGGATGTCTAGTGAAAATGGTTGGTATAAGTTAAAACACTTTAATTTATTTTTCTAACAAATTTTAAACAAAAGTATATATGGATTTTACAAATTTAACAAATTTAGTTGGTATTTATTAGGCTTAAAATCTATGAAGCCCAAATCTGCTTGACACCAAAATGTTGTAATTCAATTAAATTCCAAAAAGTATTTATGCACTTTTTTACATAATGAGAAACCACAGAAAAAAAAAAACAATATCCAAAATAATTTTTAAATTAAGGTTTATCTTTCTGTAAACGACTGCAAACGTATAAGAAAAATTTCAATAATGCAAAACAATTTTTTATCAATTTAAAAAAATAAAAACATATTGTTTTTATAGCCAGTATCGGAAGACCATTTATTGGTGGGACAATGGTCAATAGTTTGACAGACAATAACATTTTTGCTGGTGATAGAGCAGGTGAAAATACTGCAGGAACATACGGTTGGTTGATTTCAATTTATATAACAGGGTTGCCACCAATCCAGGAATATCAGGGAAATTTAGATAGAAAATCAAGGGGAAATGATTGATTTAGTAAAAAAATCAGAAAAAAAAAATGGAATTTTTTAATTTAGTACGATTTTTTTAATGCTTTGATATTTTTTTAATAATAATTTTCCTTTACCAGGGTTAATGTTTAACATTTTTTAACAAAATTAATTATAGTGTATTGATATAGATGTAGACTTCGTTTTAAAAAAAAGCATACTTTGATTACTGTTTGCAGATTATTTTTTGTTATATAACTTTAATTTTACTTCAGATTTATCCTATATAGCTATGAAACTAGACATAATTATTGAAAATCAAGATGAGATTAAGGCGATGCTGAGAAGTCTTGTGGCTGTTAGCGGGGATGATGTTTTGGACAGTGTGTTTCCCAGGAAGATGAAAAATAAACATGAATTGCGACAGCTTGAAATAAAGTTAAAGGATCCTAGTTATTGCAAAAAAATGGTAGTTATTGTCAATATTATTTAAATTTAAACTTGCGTTTAATTTACATTATTTATGCATTGGTCTAGTTGACAACAGACCGAAATTGCTATAAAGTGTTGTATTGTGGTATATTTGTAAATGTATATTATCATCCCCTGACTCTCTTTCTCACCATACTTTGTTAATTAAATTTATACGGGTTTTTGTAGCCAGTACCACATAACTTGACACACTATATACTAAGAATTTTGTTATTAAAGTATATTTAAGCCTACATAAGCTTTCAAATAGCAATTAGAAATTATGTTAAAGACGCATTTTTCAACTTATATATAATTTTATTATTACAATATATTACTTTATATGATACTTTTTTAAATATAGATACAATGATTGCTTCTTTAGAATAATTATCTTAGAAGTTTTGATGGCCGGAGTTGTAAAGATGCGATTTGGCGCATTATGCGCACAACAGGAACAAACCAACTTTGGTCTTTGTTTAGTTTCAATGGCAGAAAAGATAAACTATCATTTGAGAGCTGTTTACTCTGCCAAGTAGTGATAAGTAAGTTTTTTTCAAAGTTTTTTACAACGCAAATTACTTTAAAATGCAACGATTGAAATGCTTAGTTATAGTTAAAAATTATTATGCACCATAAACGTTTTTAAGTAATTGGTTATGCAGTTAACCTTTGACTATTTTATTAACTATTTTAAATATGATTTAAAAATAATCATTTAGAAGCTTGTAAAAAGATCATCAAGGATGCTAACGTGCAAAAAATAGAGGAAGAGATTAGGGATGTATTAAAGCATGCTCCTAATCGGCCAGGAGGAGTTAACTATGAGGTACATGAGTTTAATTGCTTTTTTTCTCTCTGTAAAGATAATTTTTAGTAAATGTTAACTATTAATACTGATCTTAGTGTATTTCATTTATTCTATATGATAGAAAATGTTTATTTATTTAATTTTAGGCGAAAATTGTTACAAACACTCCAAGTAAAGATGTATTGTTGCAACAAGCCGAAGAAAGTTCCGATTCTGAAAATATCTTACGCAAACCTAAACGAACGTTGTGGCAACGTTCATTGAACGTTAATTGTTAGCTGGGATAGTAACCTTTGCAGCGAATATTAAATCAACATTCGTTGTTTGTTGTTTGAACATCGAAGCGAACGTTTAAGATCCGTAAATCGGAGTTAACAAAAGGTAATTCGAAGTACAATTTTCAACGTACGTTATTCAAACCTAAACGAACGTTATGGTAACGTTCTTAAAATATTAATTGTTAGCTGGGTAGACTCTTTATTTAATGCATAAGATTATTAATGATAATTCAGAGACCAGGAATTTTACTCCGCTACAATAAATTGCTCTAAAATGAGTTATTACGCCCTTATTAGACTAGCATTCACTCAGTGACTTAGATTATCTGGTCAAAAAAATGAAAAAATTTGAACGTTTTGGACGTCTTTTGAACGTTCAAAAGACGTCCAAACGGTTATAAAACGTTTAAAAGACGTCTTTTTTACATCCGTGTCCACTGGGTATATATATATATATATATATATATATATATATATATATATATATATATATATATATATATATATATATATATATATATATATATATATATATATATATATATATATATATATATATATATATATATATATATATATATAAAATTTAAAAAGCATTACTTAAATATATATAAAAAGAAAACTTTTTTCCTTCATCGTTTTGTATTATTAAGCGGCCATTTCACGGAAAGAAGTTCGTTGATCATTATGTTAGTCATTTGTTGATTGTCTTTATTTGTTAATCTTTAATATGAATCTTGAGAGAAACAACCTACATTAATCCCAGTAACTACATCCATAACAACAGTATTCACTTGTCCAGTACCAGCTTTTCAAATAATAAGTTTTTGGATGCCATCACCTGTATTATTAAACTTGAGAACTAACTCACATAAGTGTTGATACAAACAGTTTTTAAAATCAAATGCCAGAAGTTGTTGGGTACCCATATAAAACCCATTAAGCTTTACAGCTTGTAAACCATCTTCACTATTTAACACATTGGTTTTAGTACTAACATTACTTTTAATAATATTCATTGAGTTTCACTTTTCTGGTTGTCTTGCAAATGATGTAGTTTGGGGAGCATAAATTAAAACTTATTGCAACAAGTTGCATGGAATATGTAAATTGAAAAGCCATGAGTTTTGAGTTAAATTTCTTTGCAGACGTCGAGTAAACCGCTTGAATGTATGACCAAAACGTGAAACACTACCGAAAGCAATTTCTTTTGCAAGATGCTCATTTTCAACAATTTTATATTACAGAGCTAAATTATTTAAAGCATAGTTTAGAGTAGCTATAGTATCAGTTGAAATAATATCTTGACTTTGGTCAATAAAAACTATTTCATATTTAAGTTGGTCTAAAAACAATAAATTCTAAAAAGGTCCTCGTCTATTAAACATTTTAAAATCAATAGTAAAGTATTTTGAACCGGCAAGGGTTGACCTTTTCCAAATGCAAGTGATATTGCTGTATTTGCTCTAGTTGTGGAATCAGTACTGGATCCATATCATAAAAGAATTTCCTGGATTAGCCTAATTTTCAATATCTTAGATTAATTGGTCTAGAAATTACTCGTACTGATGAGGGTAAGAACAAACATCAAACACCTCAATAATTACGATAATCAAAGGTGCTTTAAATTTCATGATCTTGCATTCTTTTTGTAAGTTTATTAATAATGCTTCAACCAAAATTTGCTACAAGCCTTGCTGTAAGGTCTGCATCTCTGCAATCTGCACATAGTGAGAACAACATGGTAAAGCCAACGGACTTACACAGGATTTTATTGAATTTTTATTATAGGTTCTAAAGTTGATAGATTTGTTTCAGAAAATGTACGAAATATTTTGATAACTGCTGGAGCTATAATCATATGACTAACTGTTAGATATAACAACAAAAAGAAACTAAGTGTTAAAAATAAACGACATTAAGTTATAAAAGTTGCAGTTGATACAACTACGCGCGGTGGATAGAATCCACTCGAGCATTTTAATATTATTATAAATGGTAAACTAGGCAAATGCAACAGCTATCCAGTTTTATTGAACATAACTGTAGCAGGTTTAGATGGATCATATCTTGGTCGAGGCAAAAATTACCTCCCAATTTCAGAGTTTAATCCAAACTTCAAGTATGAGCCTATAGAATCGTTACCAATAATTTTATTAATACAAGGCGTTAAGCAAATTGACAAACGACCTATTCCAAATTGACAAACGACCTATTCCAAAAAAAGGTGTATTAATATGTCGTATAACAACTGCTGATCTATAAACTCCCGTGATAAATGTTAACGCAAACTTTTTATTTTGTTTACCATAAAAAAATATTTTTCTTACTTATTTATGTGCGGAAGTAATGCATCCACCTCAGGCTTGGGTAGAATTATCTAATTTATATAAATATTGTAAATTTTGCTGTATCATTAGCTACGGCGTATTATCAAGTATCAAATCTTATATTTTATTGTACAGACCCTTCTATGCAATGTATTTACAGATTTCATGTTTATTACACTGTGAGACAAATTTTCTAGCGATTAGATCTTACAACACCATCTACAACAAAATTTGACCCATGGAAAGTTAAAATTGATAATAGTCAACTTCAGGAAATAAAAAAGAATTTCATGTTTTTGAAATGGGATTGCAGACTTGGGTACACTATTTTGACATGAGGGATTTTTTTCAAGATGAAAACAGAAACAATTCAAATAATAAATTTTTCAGCAGGTCAAACTCCAGAGATTACGGAAGGATTTACTGCTGCAGGAGTTAGAGCATTATCAGATAGCATACGAGCATACAAAATCTGTGTTATAAGCGCTCAGTTTTTTATTAAGTCATATGTTGTTGGTACGCTAAAAATCTTAATGATGAAATTAGTCAATTTTAAAACATATTAAGTAAAGCAAATTGAAATCTTTATTATAGCTCCAGACTTTTATTTATAACCGTCAGATTTAAATTTAAAATCTGGCACAAAAATATAGTATAATAACAAGCTCTTAGAACCTACTGCAACAGATTTTGGTCTTATAAGCTCCAAATAAATTAAAAAAATAAAAGTTGACCACACAGACACAAAAGCATCGGATATAAAACCAACGGAAACAAATTCAACTAAAACAAAACTAACGGATGTATCGACGCCAACAACCATTGAGAGAAACTTACAGCTCTTGTTGCGACTAGGGGTGTAGATATTCTAGTTTATTATGTCTCAAACACATACATTGTACTGGACTAGAAACTCAACTGTAAGATACATATTAACGATATTGTTTTATGGTTTGACTAGCAGGACTAGGATCTCCAAGCATTTCGGTTGGTCACTTGGAATATGAAAAATTGGAAAGCAACACTATAGCTTATTAAGGATTTTCAAAACAAATACTTGAAATGTGTGCTTTGAAGGTAAGGAAAAAAGTACTTACCAAGTTTGAAAACTAAATAATTAGAATTAACACGCTTTTCAATTTTGTCAAGTAACTGACTAACTCAAGTAATTTTTCTCTTAATGAAAAGTTAAACAAATTTTTAAAAATTAGAATTTGTAAAAATTGTATTTATTCAATTTATAAAAAAAGATGTATATTATATTTCTAAAAATGTTTTTGTCTCAGTAATTCTAATTTTTGTCTTTAGTTACAAAATCACATCTTGAAAATGTGTATCGAAGTTACGATACTCAGTCAGTATTACTAGTAGTATTACAAATTTTTTTAATCAGTTATTATAACTATTTAGATATAGTCAATTATTTTATTTAGTGAGATGCTACATGGGATAATAAGGGCTAAGGTCCAAAACTTTAAATGCAGTTTAATTGTACAAAACTTGTTTTCTAATATATAGTTATTTTTATTAATTTAGATAAGATAAGAGAAAAAATACATTTTTATAACTTTTATTAGCTAGTGGTCTTATTCATTTACATATGACCATAATGCTTTTTAGAGGACAATACATCATGCAATTAATATATACATACGAACTAATTTTCTTTATTTACTAATTTATTTATACTTATAACTATTATCTATTAAAACTTTATAATTACACATCTACAACTTTACCGTTACATATGTTTGTGTATAACTTTTAAAATTTAATTAATGATATATATCAACTACTTAAATTAGTTATGTTACATTATTAGACTTATTAAATTATATAATATTATCATGTTAAGTTAAATTTTAAAATATTTTTACTTGGCCCATTTTACTCCTATTTCACTTTTTTTTTTTTAATTTTTTTTTAAGCACATAAAGTGGTAACTTTTTTTTTTTATACATGTATGTATAGTCATTTTCTTCCTCCCGATTTAAGTAATTATCTAACTGATTTTCTTCGCGGTTCTCTAACTCATGATCTCTATCTTCTTCGCGGTTCTCTCATGATCTCTATCTTCTTTGCGGTTCTCTAACTCATGATCTCTATCTTCTTGTTGCTTAAAATAAAATTATGAGTCAACATAATAAACATATAAGTTTTTAAAAAAGAAAGATTAAGTTATTTGGACAAGCTACACTAATCGCGTTCTTTGTAGAGTAGATTTTGGGAAATTTTTGGATGTTGTTTTCACTGAAAGCTTTTTTTTTCTTATTTATCTAAATATATTTTATTTTGTTTTTAATGTTTTTAATTATAGTGGTGGATGTTATGGTGATGGTTGTTATATTTTTATTTTCTTTTAATCTTTTGTTTCATGCTCAGTTGTAACCACATGAGTTATGGTTGTTATTAACTATACTGGTTTATTATTTTTCCCTAGATCTTTAATATTGAGTTGGAATAAATGAGTTGGTGCCCAAGTTTTATAAATCTGATAAAACAACAAGTAGTTTCTCTGAAGCTTTTTTTGTTTTCAAAACTAGGCAAAAGCCTTCCTGAAATTTAAAGAATAAACAGTTATATATAAATAGTTATAGAAAAACAATTATAGTTAGTGTTGGCTGAAATACCATTACAGCAACTGCTAGAAAATCCAAGCACACAGCGTTTTAATATAGCATTAACATGAATTTAGCGTATTACAACTACTTCAGGCTAATTTTGCGATAAAAGCATGAAACGTAAAAAGTTACAAAACGTTAATTTATTGCTGCCAATAGTTGTGATAAAGTTGAATATTTATGGGTTGTTTCAGACTTTATTTCTGTTACTGTTGTTGCTGCTCCTGTAAGCACTACAGGATCAGCAACAACAGCTACGCGTCGAGTTATTTCTGCTATGCTCG